AAAAAATTTTCAGCCTTATCAGTTGGACATTCCGGTTTTTATACTGCTTTTTTTTAATTCACTAATGCTCTAAAATGAATATTTCAGCCACAGTAAAGAATCAACGTTGGCGAAGACCTATTGGCATGCGAAGTGTTTACCGACGAATGAGAAGTTTTGCGTTGTTTTCATACCGGCCACACTGGGTCCTCCCTTTAACTCGAGAACACCGACGTAATCGCCTTGAGTGGTGCAGACAACGGTCACTCTGGGATCAGGAATGGAACAGTATTGTCTTTAGTGACGAGTCTTGATTTTGTTTAGGCATGCACGATGGTCGTGCCAGGGTTAGAAGGCGACGTGGTGAAAGGAGGAATCCACAGTTTTTTGTTGAAAGACATGTTCATCACACTGTTGGAGTTATGGTTTGGGGTGCTATAGGTTATGGTTCCAGATCACCTTTAATCTTCATCAGAGGTAACATGAACGCGCAGCGTTATATCCACGAAGTTCTAGAACCCTATCTTTTACCCTATCTTGACACCCTGGCAGATCCAACTTTCCAGCAAGATAATGCCCGACCACATGTTGCAAGAGTCACAATAGACTTCTTTCAACATAATGATGTCACATTGTTACCATGGCCACCAATATCTCCCGACTTATCCCCAATTGAGCACGTGTGGGATATGATGGGTAGGAGATTGCTCAATTTGCAACGTCCTCCTCAGACTCTAGAAGCACTTCGAGAGGAGTTGGTGGTTGCCTGGAATGAGATACCACAGGAGGACATTGACCAACTGATCAGAAGCATGCCTAGGCGCGTTGGAGAATGCGTAGCACATCAGGGTGCATCCACACATTATTAAAGGTCAAAGGGCTTTAAAGCATTGCAATCATTTTGAAATTTTCATCATTTACTTATCATGCTTCATTAAGTACTTATACAAAATTTTATTAAAATAAAACCATTTAAACTGGGTGTTCGGATTTATATGTCACTTAGTATATTAGGTTCATTCATTTACTGCAACTCATTAACTGCAATTGTTGCAACATGATCTAAGATTGTCTGGCACAGGTTAATAGCTGTTAGTTTCAACAAGACGGTGCTCCAGTAAATACATAACTCTAGGCAAGTTCGAGAGTGCCTTTCTCAGCGATTTCCCGGAAGGTGGATTGGAACCTCCAGTGAAGTGTCCTGGCCAGCGCTAGACTATCATATTAGCAAATTTCCCCGAAATAATTGTAAACTGTGGTTTTATTGGTGCAAGTTGTTCAATGAGGTATTTAAAACATGGACGCATAAAATGGGTACACCAATTTTTGTGGGAAAACTTTTTATTTGACATCAAAGGATGAAAAAACGTGTTTACGGATTAAATCGAAAGTCTTGATAGAAACGAAAAAACTTTCCGTATAAGATTTTCAGATATTTATGAGACTTACAAAATGAGACCACACGTGAAAATATCCGACTAACAGCAGATTATGCGGCGATGGTTTCTCGCAGATATTTGAAATTTTTCAAATTCGTAGGATTCATGCTTTTAAATAACCACATCAACGTTGGAGTATATTGGTCAAGTAGTTCTTGAGACTTTCTAATTGTTTATCCCAAGACACCTGCTTTCTTGGCCATCACTACTAGTTTATTGAGCAATATACAGGGTTCGTTCAAAGGGCATCCGGGCATCTCGGAGCCTCTTATTCCTACAGCAAAGCTTGAATGGGTCGAATTTTAGAGGAAACTTAGTGCTTTTGATAGCCGGCTTGAGATTTTTGATCGGTCAATTGGTTTTGAAAATGTCAAAGAAAAACCGAAAATGACGGCATTTGTTTGTTGTCAGTAAATCCAGAACGGTGAATTTGACAGCTGTCAAAATGTGACCTTATTTTTTAATGAAGTTAGATAGCATGTATGACATGTCTCAATCGTCTTTTGTTTTCCAGGCACCTGCCTCAACTTTCATTTTTCTTATGGCCACCATATCGGATTTTTTGAAATGAGTGTAAAATTTCCAATCTAGTGAAGTCTCACAAGTGCATAAGAACTGGATTATCACCGAAATATCATCACATGTAATGTTATGTATTTTTTTTTAAGGAGGCCATGATTTATTTGTCAGAAAATAACATTAATGAGTAAGGCATAAAAAACGCACAAACGCCTTGAATTTTCATTAGAATACGTTAATATCGACTTCTCAACAAGTCAAATTTTTGTGACAAATTGCCAACTATGAGTCTGTTAAAATAACAAGTCAGAAAAATGGTCGTAAATCTATTTTACACTTGAACAACCAAATATTTTACAAAATTGTAACGTAAAATCTAATTATGTAAGTGGGTATTAATTTACAGATTTGCAAAATAACGTCCATTTGCATCTAGACATTTTTGACAGTTGGTGACTGCTTCTCGTACAACCTTAGCTAGTCTGTTTTTGTTAATGTTTCTAAGTGGGCTCAAAATTCTTCATCTTAGGATTACTATGGTCGCGGAGGATCAAATTCATAGTCCTCATTCTTTGTGTGACTCCAGAGGTAGAAGTCCAAGGGTGAAAGGTCACGGGATCTAGGAGGCCAAGATATTGAACCATTTAATCAAATTATTCTTTCATCAAACTGCTTTCCTTACTTGAATGGTGTTGTGAGCCGGACATCCATCTTCATAAAACCAGGTTCTTCTAAGCTCATCTTCGTTTAGACTAGCTCGTAAAGCCGGCACAACCTGGTTTCGCCAAAGCTTTAAGTACATCTGTCCATGTAGGTTGTAGTCAAACAAAAACGGACCTATAAGTCGATTTCCTGAAATGATTAACACCTTATCTTCTTAAGTGGGTTTTATGAGGCTGCCGTCATTCGGGGTACATCTACTACCTTGCTGAGGTAATTTTTGTCTAAGCACCCATGGGGTAACATAAGGAGAATACAGGGGAAAAGGGGGGGACGCCCCACGGACTCTAACGAGGGAACACATGTTCTTACTCCATGCACACAATCTGGCCCCACCTACAAGATCCGCCGGATGGTACCTCCGCGTGTGACAGTCACAGACCAGCTACCACCTACGGACAATCACAACATCCATAGCCAGGGAAAAATTTTCTGTTGGGACGGGATTCGAACCCTCGCAGAGCCAGTAGGTGTGAGAAGTAAAAAGAATTGTCGAGAAAATCAAACTTTTTAATGTGAAAATATGAAAACAAGGATCAGCTTTATGAGCACGCTATCAAATTTTGGCATTTAAATATTTTCGAACATGTATTTTGATCTTACGTCAACATTTTTCTTTTTCATGTGAGCGCCGTAGAACAAAACTTCCATTTTCATATATGTATGTTTTGTGTACTTAGCATGTTCTATTATATTTGTAAATTTGCAGCAGACAGTTGCCAATACAGAGAATGTTAGATATTCAAAAATATGTGAATTTTAGGTACAAATGCCAAATTTGCGAATTTTGGGATTTCAAAGAACAATCAAGTACTAAAATAAAAATGTCAATCTTGATGAACAATTCTAATGTATGTTATATGATATTTAAAAGCAAAATTTCATAGATGCGATTAATTTGAAAGTTTAGCGATTTTCAGGACCGAAAACCCCGCTTACAAAAATGTTGCTAAGAAAGTTTCAGATTTCTAAGTAGCTCCAGAGAGAAACGGAAAGAAGCGAATTTTCCCGAAATCGTTTTAGTCTTTTCTTGACTTCATTTGAGGTGTCATGTGGAAATAAATTGCATGTTTCCATTGCCACTGTTTATCCTATACAAAATGGGGTGTTCAAATTTTCAATTCGAGGTCTCTTTCTACTTCCATCACCAACTTTATTTTCTCATATGGGCGCTGTATTTTGATTTTGTACATTTAAATACTATTAAGAATAATATTACTTTGATGGAATATGTGAAGTTTATCGTGACATAATGTATTATATTCATAAATAAATTCAGAATCAAAAATTGTGTGCGATAGCGCAAAACTTCAGTTAATTGAGGATGGAGATCGAAAATTGAGAATTTGACTACGCCCTCTTGTAGAGGAGAAATACTGGCAATGATAATATACAATTTATTTTTTAATCCCATGTCAAATAAAATCAAGAAATAAACAACGATTTTTCAATAAATCATTTGACTGATAATTTCAAGGCCTTCCTGACATGACATGTTATATGTTCAATTAATTTATACAAAAACTCAATATGGCAAAAAATGAAGTTGATGCTGGAGGACAAGAGAAATTAAAATTCTAATTATACCATGTTGTAAAAGAAAAAAGTGTCAATGCTATTCTACAATTAGTTTCGAAATCTCACTACAAATAAAGTACGGAAAAATTAACGGAACTACTTTTAATATCAAAATTTTCGAAACTGCATCTTGTTAGTTACCTTAATACGCAACTTTGCTTCCATTTAAACTACTTTGTATCGCTTACCGTTTCCAAGATCCCAATGGTGAGAAAAACGTTGTTCTAGTGTTTGTTTCAGTTGAATTTGTATCGTTAAGTTATATTTCAGCGTTTTTCTATTTTCGACGGTCATTTACTGAGGTGTGTTATTTACTTATTTATTTTCTTTATGTTTTTTTCGCATTATTCTATTGTACTATACCATGTACGTGTTCTATGCCATCCTACGACGATCTGTCAGAACGAGTCAAGAAATAAAAATACATGAACATGAAGCACCTAAACGGGCAACAGCAGCCAACAACGCACGGCAATATTTTAGGTGTGTCCGGCTATATTCCCACATCTTTGGCGCATCGGAATCCTAATTAATGTAATGTAAATAATGTGTAATATGTATATTACCAAGATATACCCGAAGTGTATAGCCATATGTTCATGATGACCGGGCTATAGCTGTCATAATTATATTCAAATATTGACACAAAAATATTGTCCGCATAGAGGATCCATAATAAGCTTGATACAGACTTACTCGATGGTTCAAAACCTGGTATGAAGTCGGGGCAAGACTGGTTAGCTACCGAACCTGCTGGAGTTTCAGGCCAGCAAGACCAACCGTCAAAGTAGGCTGGACACGTTAACACTGAAAATAAAAATAAAAATGTCACTACACTATTGGACCGCAAGAAAATTTCAAAATGGTTTAAATATTGGTGAAGTATCTGATATTACTCGTAAATTAGGTTCTTGCAGTTGCACGTTCGCATATTTAAGATAGCCGCGCTATAATCAAGATTGGCTGTTTTCGTCTATCTCCAACCGATCACATACAGCATTGCTTCACCATTCTCGCGGATCATCAGTGCGGTATTGGTCACATAAGTGAACGACCAGATGCTGCGCCATTATTTGTATGGGAGGCATGGTGTTAGAGCGTTTAGTCCCTTTAATTAAAAAGGCGGTTGATCACGTTTTTATGTGGCCGCTGATTGGATTTTCGTGATGGTCTGTAGTGTAGTGCTTCAATAATGCTATTAGATCTTTAACACTTTTGTCATGAATGTTAACCAATTTTATTTAATTTTGCTCATCTTATTTCCATACGAAAAAAGTTCAAATTTCGTGTTCGCATTAAGTTAAAGTATGTTTATGTCATGGGCCCATTGTTTTGATGAAAAAATATATTATGTCATTTTTTTACATTATATTGCTTGTTTTTGACATAACATAGATCTTTCTACGAGGTGTTAACTTAGCACTAGCTGATGGACACGTTGTGAACTCGTTTTGTAGTTGTAGGTGTTGATGATGATACTTCAGTTATCAATGTTTGGCTCTGATGTGATGTAAAATCTGCTTCAAACGGCAATGTACAGGTGCAGGTGAGGATTTTTGTGTCAATAAATGTGTTGATGATAATCCCATTGGTTTTTTGTCTTAAATACACTTGCTTGAGATTCAAAGTTAGAAATTAGTTGCATCCACCGTTTCTTATTCATTCTAAAAATTATATATGCAAATTTTCTGAATTTCAAAAATGAGAGACATAAGAGAAGAAAATTCTTGGTTGGTGAAGTAACACTTGAGAAAATATGTCAGGAATATTTATGAAAGCGACAAAGTTATTACATTATTTTCTATTTTCAGTCATTTAAATTTTAGAGAAATTCATTTTGCGATGTCAATCGAATGAACATTTTATAATGGCTATGATGGTGATAATTATATATGTATAAAATCCGAAGGAGTAGTCGTACGTGTAACAGAAATGAGACGTGCCAAGCGTAAATTTTTATTGACGATTCGATCCCATTTAGGGCGATCTTTTTTTTCTTATTCTATTTCAGTTTCAATAAATACCAGATTCTTTTATTTTAGCGTATTTAATATTATCAATTGTTACCAATGTTCACCAGTTTCTCGGATTTACCTTCTAAAATGCAACTGCTCATTTTAGGAGAACATGTTACCCATTCGGTGCCTTCTTGTTAACTGCATGAAGAGTATGGTCACCCCGCTAGGTGCCACCTTCATCGGGTAAAGGTTAAAGGTTTACGTCCTACCGAATGTTCACTGATGCTGAAAATGCGGCACAACCTTAATCGAGCCTTGAAATTAAACTGCTTAGCTTCAGACATGAAATCCTCCAATTTTAATTACAAGTTGAGTCTCCCTTGAACCTATTAACACAGACCAACAGCAGCTAAAAGAAAGCAACTGCCTCTATTTTACAACACAAATTAAATTTTGTTCTTTCATCTCTCTAGAAAATGTTTCTGCCAGCTTTTACGATACATTTTTAATTAATAAGAAAACTTTTATGTTCAAGCGCTAACGCTGCAAGTATATAATCATTCCGCCCATAAAAGAATACGAGGTGCTTACATATTTCCGTGAAATGATGCATTATTACAGCTAAACGTGCTGTAAAGTAAGCCGTGAGCGTTTGGTCAAAGAAAAGGTTATCGAGCACATCGACTTCAATTTCTGTATGGATTGGTAGTATTAGCGCCGCTTAAACTCAAAAACTATTGAGCTTTTGCCGTATTGGAAACCCACTATTCTCCAGTTTCATCAAAACCGAAATGATATAGAGGGGTCACAGGTCTGGGGAATTATCTGTTTTTTTTAGGATTATTCGGCTGCTGCTGTATCAGTTTTTGAAAATAATTTGTCTTGCTATGATAGTAAAAGAACAGATGAGCTGGTAGGAGCTTACTTATGGATCTGAAGAATTATCTTCGGAAGAAGAAATACTTCTCTCACACTGAGAAAAACAAATTGCTAGGTCCAAGTTGAAGGAAGAATATCGGATAGCTTTGGCGTATCTCGAGGAGTAAGGCAAGTGGCGCTTTAGTAACTGTCCTCTCTAATCTCCTACTAGAATACCTAAAAAATGGGCTTATAAACCAGTGGAACAATACACGTATTTCGCCATAAACACCGGGTCATGGTCTATGCTGACGATCTTGTCTTCTTATGGACAACAAAACAAGAACTGACAAGGATTTTTCAACAGCGAGAGGTAACATCAGAACAATTTTGATTACACATAAATGAAGAAAAAATAAATCTTATGGAGATATCCTGCGTGGACTAAGAAGAAAGGCAGGAGCACTGAAGAATTAATTAAATCTAGTGATGTAACAAAGGTACTGAAGATTTGGATATATAAGACTGTTATAAGACCAATGGTGCTTTATGGATGCAACATGTGGATCTTGAATAAAAAATAAAGAAATCCTAAATATATGGCAAAGAAAAATATCGAGGAAAATATATGGTGGTGTGAAAGAAAATGAAATTTGGGGAAGAACGAATGAGGAACTGTAGGAACTATATACAGTTCATGTTTGCAGACTGCCTGATATGCGAAGTACAAAAGTGGTTCTAGAAGGAGTTTTTGGGATGCAAGATAAGGCAAGGAAGATCAAGACGTTTGTGGATAGACGCTGTCTTCGTAGGTTGAAGGTACAGCGGTGGAAAGGAAAAGCACCGGATAGAAGATTTTGGGAGCATATCATAGATGCAGAACTGTTGCATACATAAATGATAAAATCAGTGGCTAGTATTTGATCATTGATTGTGGGTTTGAAAGCACTGTTACACTTGATTTCAAGAACGGGAGGAATCCTGATGTACAAATTAGAAGCCATATATGAAAAAATGCCTTTAAAAGCTGTTATCTTGGGCTTGGGGACATCCAGAGTGTTACCCACAAACCTCAAATTAATATTGTGGATATCAGTTCTCAAAGATAGCATTTCATGTAACTTAACAGGTGTTTTTCTTAGTAACACCGAATGAATCAAACAGGTCAGGTGATAAGTCCATCTCTGCCTCATCGTAATACCTTTAACATAAGTAGATGTTTTTTCAAAGCTGCTTAGACCGTGAATATGCCTTTGAAACCTTTTGCACGTTTTGTATTAATTGGGCTTCCGTCTGAATGAAACAAGGATCATACACAGAGTCAGCATATTCAGCATTGCTCAGTATAAGGGAGATAGTTAGTTTGATTTTAGTATCCTTTGACAACATATTTATGCTTATCAATCCAAGACTTGGTTTCAGCAGTATTTTTTTTCACCAACAGCAATGCTTTGTTAACACACGAAATTTCTATTTATCCATTTTTTCAAAGTAACAAAGGTTCTTTTACTAAAAATACTATAACATTCTGGCCCGCCTATGAGATCCACCGCGTGGTACCTCTGCGTTGGACAGTCACGGACCATCTACCATCTACGAACAATCACAACATCCATAGCCAAGAGAAAAATTTCTCTTGGGGCGGGATTCGAACCCGCACAGCGCACGGCGACTGATCAGGAGACCGAGGAGTCTACTACTGCGGCCACCGCTGCTGCCTAGAACATATTTAAATTTGAAGTTAAATCCTCGAGCACATACACACAAAAAACACTTATTTATGCATGAGGCGATCATTCAAATAATATTTAAACCTATTTAAGGAATGGTTTTAGATTTTCCGGAATCGAGTTATGCAGTGTAACTGCGTTAAATGTGAAAGATCTGTTAAATAAAGCTATCTTGTGGCGTGGCATGATGAATAAATGCAGAGATCTGATAACTCTAGGCAGCAGCGGTGGCCGCAGTAGTAGACTCTTCGGTCTCCTGATCAGTCGCCGTGCGCTGTGCGCGTTCGAGTCCCGTCCCAGGAGAAATTTTTCTCTTGGCTATGGATGTTGTGATTGTCCGTTGGTGGTAGATGGTCTCTGACTGTCGAACGCGAGGGTACCACCCGGCGGTTCTCGTAGGCGGAGCCAGAATGTGTGCATGTTGCATGCACACGTGTTCCCTCGCCAGAGTCCGTGTGGCGTCCCCCCTTTCCCCTGTATCCCCCTATAGCCCCACGGTACCCAATGGGTGTTTAGGCCTTAGGCCTTCGTGATAGTTGGAGTATATAAAAAAAACTCTATTGAATGAAATTATATTTAAGATATAAGTTTGTTTTTCAAATATAATGGTTTTTTATTATTTTCAATGCTCCTTAAAGTATGGTAATATTTTTTTTAATTACTTATCGGACGGCGACTATTATGTTGGATCTTTTGTAGTGGTTTGTAGTGTTTTGATCTAAACATGGAAAATAAAGGTTAATACAAGAATTTTGGATATAACTGCTTATTTGCAACGCTTTAATAGACTTAGTCATGACGTCTTTGTTTGCATATTATACATAAGCCGGGATGATGAGTAACAGTTTCAAGAGATTTGACTGACGCGCTCACGGAATCTTATTTTTTCATCAAAAATAACTCCGAGGTTTGTAACTCAGTTACTACATTCACAATTAAAAGGTACGAGTCTATAGTGGATACCAAATAAAACCCGATGCACGTCATCGATCTGGAGCTGTGCGCTGTTGCCAGAATTTGCACATTTTCTTTTAAGCAAATAAATTTAATAAAATAAATTGTTTATACAGGGTGACTTCGAAGTTGAGTCATTTATTTTAACAGTGAGTAGATCTGATCAAAAGAAATGTTTTTTTCCTTTACCATTTTTCTGGTAAAATTAAAGTAACAAAGTTATAGCCCTTTGGAAGTTTGAGTACCGCCCTGTCTCAATAATGATATTATGTTCTCGTGTTTGGCAACAACAGATATAATCCGCCTTATCCGTTCATCGCATCGGAAACAAAAAAGCGAAAGAATTTGGAACGATCTTTTTACAATTATTTTCTTCAGTTGTATACAGTCAGTATCAGTCGGTAGTCGGTAACGCGTAAATGAATAATCGTGTCTGTTGCGAGGCTCAAATCAAAAATGGCACATGTTTACGAAAATGCTGAACTTGTGGACATGGTTCTTATTTACGGGGAGTCTTTACAAAATGCTGCCGCGGCATCACGGATCTATGCGGATCGGTTTCCCAATCGAGTGCAACCAACCCCTCGTGCCTTTGTTAATGTAGTGCAAAGAGCTCGTGAATCAGGTGACTTAAGACCTCACAGAGGAGATCATGCCGGTGCTCCAAGACCACACGATCAAATAGAACTAGAAGAACAAATTTTAGAATTAGTAAGTGATGATCCAACAGTAAGCACCCGACAAATTTCAACTCAATTGGCGATTAGTCAGTATAAAACTTGGAAAACTCTACGTGAAAATCAGTTCTATCCGTTTCACATACAAAAAGTGCAGGCCTTACAACCGGAAGATCATGAACAAAGGGTTGACTTTTGCAATTGGCTTTTAAATAAACATCAAAATGATGACAATTTTTTAAATCAAATTTTAGTGAGTGATGAAGCCCTCTTTACTAGAAACGGAATTATTAATTCACGTAATTCTCACGTTTGGGCTATTGAAAATCCCCATGAAATAAGGGAAACCAATTTTCAACAGCGATTTGAACCAATCAACCTGTGGGCGGGAATTGTTAATGGAATTTTAGTGGGGCCTTTTGAATTACCAAATCGCTTAACTGGTGAAAATTATTTTGGTTTCTTGCAACACAATTTGCCTGGTTTACTGGAAGATGTGCCTTTAAATATTAGACAAAACATGTGGTTTTTACAAGATGGGGCACCACCCCATTATGCAAGAAATGTGCGTGAATTTTTAAATAGACAATTTAATAATCGTTGGATCGGCCGTGGCGGTTTTGTACCTTGGCCGCCAAGGTCTCCGGACTTAAATCCTTTAGACTTTTGTTTGTGGGGTTGGCTAAAAACTCTAGTGTATAAAACACCGGTTAATACACGCGAAGAATTACGTGCTCGAATTGAGGAAATGAGTACAGTGATCAGAAATTAACCAGTGATTTTATTGCGTGCTTGTAAAGAGACATGGCTAAGACGCGCCCAGCTGTGCGTCGAACAGTTTTTGTGACATGCTTTTGGGCGCACAGGTCCGCACTGAAATACTTGTCGGGAGGATACTTTATAAAACAAGGTAACATTTTTTTTTTAATTTTTTTTTATTTTTACACACATATTTTGGTTTATCTTCCTTCTACAATCATTATCTGAAAATTAATGACTCAACTTCAAAGTCACCCTGTATATACCTACCATTTACTATAATACCATTATATTAAAAATAAATAAACTTGTTGTAAAATTAAATTCCTTTCTGAATAAAAACACCTGATTTTAGTAGATATTCAATGATATGAGCTCTTTACACCGACTGTTAAGTTGTTTTGGCATTTTGGATACTTAACACCACTTCACAGTAACTGTTGTTCTGAAAAGAACAATTTTAAATTGGCAAGGCAACGATTCAAAGCTCAAATAGCGCAAAACTCACAAACTAAACAATAAAGAACTAATAGTACGACAAAAGGACAATGGCAACTGATGTCAACAAATGAGAAGTGGCAACCTCACATTTCTCTGCACGGCACTACCAACAGAATCGAGACGGGGAAATTTAAACTTCAAGTAGAAATGTCACATTGAATGTAGTCAACTGTTGGTAACCATGATTTTTATGAATGACATCACCTATGACGTGCATCGGATTTTATTTGGTATCCACTATATCAGTGGTTCCTAACCTTTTCAATGTCACTACCCCTGTGAACAAGTATGGGAATTGAGTTTACCCCTAGCCAATTTAAAATAATTAAAACCACACAAATTCGAACGAAAATATGTTTATTATCTAACTAAATTCTAAGAAATTGCACGTTTAGGTAACTAGTAAAGTAAAGTAATATGTAAATCTTGGAGTTAACTAGTGTGAAGGTTGAAATTGCTTTGCATTCGCAAGTTTGACAATATTAGGTTCGGTTTCACTCAACGCGCATCTCATGTCATGCTCAACATTCAGACGGTTTCTGGCTTTTGTTTTTAATGTAACAAGAGTTGAGAAACCAGTTTCACATCTGTAAGTTGTAGCAAATGGAATCAACATTTTTAAAGCTCTGTCAGCTATAATGGGATATTCTGCAGCTGCTTTTCGCCAAAATGTGCTTAGTTTATCATTTTGAAAATCAACTTTCAATGAGTTATTCTCACGCAGCCCGAGAAACTCTACTTTCGCTGACACATCTTCGTCCTTGAAAATATCGACGCAAGTAGAAAATGGTCTTAAAATCCAGGAGTAGGACTCACGACTGTCCATGTTCGGAAAATATTGCTGCAGTGAGTCTATCACGGCAGTTAAATGTTGAACCACGGAATTTTCAAACGAGATTTTCTCTTGTTTATTATTTACTAATTGCTCACTTAGTTGTGTAAACATTGACACATCACCAGCTTGAACTCTGCGTTGGTAAAGTTCCAATTTGCGCAAAAAACTTGCGATTTTATCCTGCAACGTCAAAATATTCGTTTCATTTCCTTGCAGTGAAATATTCAGACTATTAATTTCAGTGAAAAAATCAGCAAGGTACGCCATTTTTAGAATAAATGTTTGGTCTTTAATTTTTGCATAATATTCTTTTTCTTTTTGTGTTCTCTGATTTTCAAAAAACAATCCAATTTCTTCTCGTAATTCGTAAACCCTACTTAGAACTTTGCCTCTTGATAACCAACGTACCTCTGTATGGTACAAAAGAGCATTAAATGTAGCACCAACTTCATCGCACAAAACTTTGAATAATCTTGAGTTAGTAGCGCTGCCTCGAATATGATTAACAATGTTTACTATGTCACTCAACGTGTTTAGCAAATCTGATGGAAGCGTTTTCACAGCCAAAGCGTAACGGTGTATCAAGCAATGATAGCCGAAAACTTGAGGAGCAACTTGCTTCACGAGTGCCTGAAAACCAGAACGGATGCCCATCATGGAAGGCGCCCCGTCTGTACAAGTACCAATCAGCTTTAACCAGTCTAGGCCATTTTCCTCAATAAACTCTTTTAGCGTTTGAAATACGTCTTCGCCGCGAGTAGTAGTGGGCAAAGACTTGCAGAACAAATATTCCTCCTTTACATCATCATCTTTAATGTATCGTGTAAACACCAATAATTGTGAACACGAAGCAACATCTGTGGACTCGTCCAACTGCAGCGCAAACATATGACTTTCCTTTATTTCAGAAATAACGGTTGCTAGAATATCGGCACTCATTTCACATATGCGACTTTGAATAGTAGTGTTTGAGAGTGAGATTTGTTTAATCTTAGCTACATGTTGCTCACCAATAACAAGTGCTACTGCATCTAACAAGCAAGGTTTGATGAGGTCCTCTCCTATAGTGTGTGGTTTTTTATTACGTGCGATGCGATAAGCAATTTTGTATGAAGCTTGAAGGCATGATTCATTTGCTTTCTGTATATTGCCTGTTGAATCCATGCGGGAAGACTTCAGAATCCTCTCCTTTTTCTTAAAAAAATCTATATTTTTATCTGCGAACTCCTTGTGAACTTTAGCAAAATGTTCTTTTAATTTGCTCGGTTTCATGCTTTCTGGATTAAGCACTTTATTACATAAAACACACTGAGGCTTTTCTATATTTTTGTCTACGATGCTTGTGAAACGCCATTGTAGAAATGCTTCTTTATAAGTGCGCTTTTTGCCAGATGAAGTAGAAGCCATGTCAAAAACACCTGTAGGTACCTAAAACAAAAATCAACTAATACATACCTACGTAAACAAATCACTCGTGACAATATTAACGTGACGATATTAACAAACACTGCTTACCTTTGAATTTAAACCGTTTAAAAATACGATTTCTGCAATGCGCGGCGGAACAAATAAAATGCGTGTTCTTCCTAAGCTTAGGTAAACAAAATGAACATCGCCGCCTGTCCGGCCCGCCGCTAGTCATGCTTCACCCCTCCCACACCGCAGCTCACCCGCCGCCGTCGCCGTCAGCCGCGCGCATGAGAGCGCCGTGCTACCGTTTACCGTACTATTATTTTGTTTATTGCTATTTTAATACTATTTCGTGCCATCCCGTGTTACCCCCTTAGAATCTCCGTTTTACCCCTGCGGGGGTAATTACCCCCAGGTTAGGAACCACTGCACTATATACATCTGCGTATCGTCAGCGTACGTCATAATATTACAGCTTTTAACCACTTTAATTTTGTCTGACGTATATATGGTGAAGAATAAATTACCTAGATTTGGTCATCAGTTTGCCCATAATCCTAGTCAACACATCATTGATTTATGTTTTTTCCAAAAACATGCTCTTAATTCGTAATCTAGGCATGTAGATTATAAAATGGTCGCATTTCAATCAAACTCCGACACATTAACATAATCCAATCTGCCATCTGCCTAAATTCAATACGGATCGGCATAAACGCCATATAGCTGCCATGAAATTTGTTATTCATAATTTATGATTTAATAAATTAAAGTTTTATTAACAGAGTTATGATCGTAATCGATTCGCTTTGAACGATGCGCCCATGTTAAATTACATTAAATCCGTGTTTTATTAAGCCAGGTATTTTTGGACGTGTTTATACTGAATATACTTGTTGTTCCGTTACATTTTATACCGCTATCGTCCCACGTAACATTCCAATAAATATGGTAATTATGAATTGTACATAAGCTTAAGTGAAATAAGATGCCGTAGCGATAACCAAGTGGGAATAAGGGTGCATTGGGAAGGTGTAAGTATAGTGGCAAATTTGAAATTTTATTCAGTATACTCTCCAAAATGATCGCAGTAGGACTTCTTAGCTAGTTTGCATATACCGGGAGTTTCATTGGGTGAGAGACCGATGAGGTGATTATAAACTATACATGCTGTATAGATCTTTAGTCTCTGCTAATACCGAGATGCAGATAACTTTATTGATTTTGGTCATTTTTAAAACCTCATATTTTTTTAACCATTCGTCATATTTTTATGAAACATGGTACTCAGCTATTGTTGCATCTTCGACTACGATACGAACAGAAAGAAATACAGGCCTAAACGAGTTAGTATTTGTCATATCCGTTATAATAAAAACAATACGCTGTATACTGGAATTTCTGTATTTAGTTTAAGTATTTGAAAAGAACACAGCAAGTTTATTCTATCGATCATTTTAGTTCCCACACCTACGGGCGAGGAAGCAATGTATAACGTTTTTTCGATTTTATATAATGTTCAGATTCATATTTATTTGCATATTTATAAAGTATGTACATTGTATTAAAAATTTTTATTATCAAATATTTTAAATTATGCTGCTTCGCCAGCTGTACACGATGGAAAATTATTTTACGTATTTTTACTGAAATTATAAATGCAGAACGGTTCGCAGAACAGTACAATGAAATAACAAAGGTACAAAATTGAGAACAAAAATATCAAGGCACTGTCAACACTGTCTGTGTGTGCAGATATCCAATTAAGAAATCAAATCACAATAAAATTCTGATTATTACAAATAAATAAATTGTATTTCAGAGAGGAAGAGAGCAACGCTGATACTTATACATATGCAGATATCAATATTAAATAAAATTAGCACAAAATTTCACCAAATCCAGTCATTAATATGAGGTTCAATTGTACTATATTTTTTTGTTAAAAATTTTCTGGTAACGTATTATATATTTTGGGACCAATTTAACTGATGTCTTTAGCTTGTATGTTTAACGTGGTTAATGATATTCATTTGAATAGCACTTTCTTTACCCATTCCATGATCTAAAAGATCTCTGTAATATGTATTTTGATGAGGCAACCGCTTTTATTAAAAGTTGTTTTGAAGATTGACTGATGGAGAAAAGTGGAACTGTTGGAATTGCATAGAATTTATACAGGGTGACTTTGAAGTTGAGTCATTAATTTTCAGATAATGACTGTAGAAGGAAGATAAACCAAAATATGTGCGTAAAAATAAAAAAAAAATGTTACCTTGTTTTATAAAGTATCCTCCCGACAAGTATTTCAGTGCGGACCTGTATTTGATCGTGCGGTCTTGGAGCACCGGCATGCCCTCCCCTGTGAGGTCTTAAGTCACCTGATTCACGAGCCATTTGTACTACATTAACAAAGGCACGAGGGGTTGGTTGCACTCGATTAAGGATAAGAATCATGTCCACAAGTTCAGCATTTTCGTAAACAAACACCACTATTGACTCTCGCGTTACCGACTGACACATACAACTGAATAATAATTGTAGTAAAAAAATCGTTTCAAATTCTTTCGCTTTTTTGTTTCCGATGCGATGAACCGATAAGGCGGATTATATCCGTTGTTGCCAAACACGAGCACATAATATTATTATTGAGACAGGGCGGTACTCAAACTTCTAAAGGGCTATAACTTTGTTGCTTTAATTTTACCAGAAAAATGTTAAAGGAAAAAAACACTTATTTTGATCAGATCTACTCACTGTTAAAATAAATGACTCAACTTCGAAGTCACCCTGTATATTAGTTATCTTAGTTTGTTTGTTGTATTAGATTTTTGGGTGAATCCAAAACGTATAAGTTTTGTTTTGCACCATTCAGTGATAATAAAATGTGATTTAGAAAAACTTCACGAAAAACCATGTTACTCATTTCCGTCGGAAAAAATAAAATCGCTTAAAGTTCGTTTTTAGACATTTCAAAGGCTCCAATTTTTATAAGTGTTAAAGATTGGGGGTTGGAGGCTATAGGGGTGGGGGAGGGTGTATCTCAATTTTTTGGTCACATTTTATTTATACGCTTTCAACCCCGGTAATTTTGGTGGATATTTCACAAATTACAGATTTCCTCGCAAATTTGCCCTTAAAGTTTAAGGAAATATTTTTCGTCGCTAGTCTCCTTCCTCCATGCAGCAAGCCCCGACTGTGTATGACTGCATCGCTGGCGCTCTCGATCTCAAATTCCAGCAAAAATTTGTACTGGCGCATCAACATTTTTATACATTATAGTACACAGTGACCTAGTATGGACTTATCGGTTTGGAGGGGCGCTGTGGTGGATTCATTTTCAGGCAGATGTCCATGTCGGGCACTTAGACCAAGCAGCCTATTGAAGGGTGGAGGGAGGTGTCTGGCGTAATAATATCTGAAGGACAGGCAATTAATTGAAGAGGCATGTAGATGTGTGAACGTGAAAGTAACGATGGAGCTCACTCACATGTAGGTTGGATTGAGAATGATTGGATATGGAATTCATCGGACATATGTTAACCTCTGAAATTAAAAAAGCTTGTTCAGAGAATTGCCGTACATTTAGCTAGTATCGTACACGTAGTATCGTACCGATGTACGATTACTGTATTTGAAATTACCACACAAGGTTGATAGTTATCGCATGTCCAGTAGCGCTGAGTTGTAGTTCGTGGCATGGTTCACTGGTGTGGTTCAAGATTGTTGACAGATTGTCGATACTTTCGATAAAACAAAAAATTTATAGTGTTATCACATGGGTGGAGACTACGGACTCGTTTGTCCGTAGCTAACTTTTTTCTCAGAGCAGCTAACTTTTGCTGAGCATAATCCTCTATGAACTAATTATTGACAGCGTTGCGTGTTAAGTGCAGAGTCAACCTTCTTGACATCCTAGAGATCCGCCGGTTGGCACCTCCACGTTCAACAATCAGAGACCGTCTACCACCTACGGACAATCACAACATCCATGGCCAAGAGAAAAAAAATGTCTTGGCTCGGGATTCGAACCCGCGCAGTACACGGCGGTTGATTAGTACACCCTTAACATCTACCACTATGCCAACCCTGCTGCCTCTAGGTGCTATTCCATACAAAATGAATTGCTGGTGCATGAAGGTGGAAGGTTTCCTCTATCGGTTGGTATGTCACTCTCCGGTCTTCGTCAAGCATTTCCCTCGCAGCAGTAATGTTTTCCTCTGTTACTGACGTTCGCGGCCTTAATTCCCTCTCAGCGTCTTCCAGAGTGAAAGTGCCCCTTTGGAATTCTCTGTATCACCTGAATATAGTCGTGCGATGAGCACAATCATTCTTTAATGCAATCGTCACTGGTCTATACTTAAGCCACGCGTAAAGTTATATCGTAAATCTGCCGTTATCTTACTACGTGACCACAATGCCATAGTCCGCACTTTACACTGTCAATACGAATAAACAACTAAATCAACTGACGTGCTGTTGGTGGCTGCCATGCACGCATGGACATGTCTCAACATGCAGCCTCCTGCGTCCGTTTCTTAAGTTATCTTGCAACACTTTTATAGTACCCTTTGTACACATGGTTATGTGATATTTTGTTAATATAACTAAATACTTTTACGAGGCAAGAATATTCTCAAATCCATATCTGTTTGAGGCGCAACAAGAATTGCACTAATAACACTTTCATGACAATAAACGTTCTTGTCTATTTCGGGGACATCATAAGCCAATTGACCTGATACTCACCATTTTTATATCTATCATGCTGTCCCAATGCCATCAAGGTGCAATTGACTCTCCTGCTCTCGAGGATGTCAAATTCCAGTCCTTCCTCCTCAACCATTTTGTCCACGTTTCCAAGTAGCTAAAGAAGGCTTTTGTCTGTCATACCTGATGATTTAGAGTCAGTGCCATCCTATGGCGTACAGCAGGGGGCCATTTTCGGACTGTAACAAAATGAAAAAGAATCAGTGGGAGGTGGATTTTGGCGCAATTTGTCTACGTTAAACGTTTCTTGGAAGAATAAGTAGGAAATACGTGGTTGGATTTAAGATTTGCTACGGCTTCAACTTTTAGTGGATAAAGGCGTTTTTAGGGTATACACGAAGTTTCGTATTCGTTGAAGTCAACAAATTTAGACTGGGTAGAAGGAGTCAGTCAATGATTTGTTTGTCTCCTAATGCTCACAGTCTGTGATGAGCATTAAACTGAAGTCATTTTGGACAGTTCTATCATTAAATTTGTGTTATATTTATAAAAGTGCGAGTGTTTGCAGAAATTGTGGTTTTAGACGGTTTCAAGACATGTTCTTACGTAATTTGCAAAGAGCGACACAAGCCTAATGAAGATAGATGTTTTCACTGGTGACTATTATTATGCTGATTCAATGCGCTTAGTTTGATAGGCTGTGGTAGATAAATGAGTCAAAGGTATGCACTAAAACTACGCAATTTTGTTGACAAACAATCCAATGTAAGCATATAGGCTTGGCTCCTAGTAACTATTCGAATTCCTTGGTGGAGATAGATACATACAATATTGGGTTCAATACAGAAGTGGGGGTTTAAATTTTCCAAAAATATGGAATGAGGTAATGTCACTCCAAGTATTGCTTGAGGTGGATGTTTTCTGGAGTAACTAAGGTTTCTATTGGAGGTGTGTCAGCAAAGGGTGTATAACAAGAATTTTGATATGCGCTGGTCAGACGTGGGCCGGAAATTAGCTGAAACAATAGAATTTTAAAAAATCGTTTTTTGCTGGTTCTTAATTTCATGTTATATCCTATATTTTTAGCAAAACTGGCGAGTACCTTCTTACCTGTTTTAAGGAAACACGAGTGCTCAGTTTTTCAGTAATTATGTTTTTCACGGTGGCTTCACTATGTCAACTTCATACAGAACTATAAAAAAGTCCATTTATTGTACGCGTCTGCTCAAAGTGAATAAAAAAGTCTTTTTCGAATTTGCTCTACGATCATTACTCTTCAAGACATAACAATAACGTAAGAAAAAATACCAGGCAAGAGCACGATTTCTTTATATTTAATTTTTCTTAACGAAATGTCCGCACTTTGTCAGACCAGCGCATGTCGATATTTTTGTAATCCGCCTGGTGTTTCAAATTCGGCCCTCACCATTGGAATCTCGGAAACTGTAATAGATAAGAAGTTGCTTATATGGGGTCAAAGTTGCGTATTTAGGTAACCAACAAAATGCCGCTCAGAAGGTACTTCCATAGGGAGACGAAAAAAACCGAAATTTCCCAAAATCGTTTCATGTGTAGTGGGATTCCAAAATAACTTGCACATTAACATTGCCACTATTTGTTCAAGGTAACATAATTAGAATTTGTCCTCCAGCATCCACTTTATTTTTCTTATGGACGCCATATTGGATTTTTGCACGGATAAATAGTTTTTTTGATTCTGATTCCAAAAATGTATCATAGGTCATATATTGGCATTGCCAAATTTTAGTTAATTCAAAAAAGCAGAATCTCCTAGGCAGTTCTTGAAATTATCAGATTTTCATTTGTTTCGCATGCCAGATATACCCCAAGATCACCTTTATATTTCTCCCTGACTTTATTTGAAATGAGATTTCAAAATAAATTGTGTGTTGGCATTGCTACTTATTCTCCTTCTACAAGGTGGCGTAGTCAAATTTTCAATTCGACATTTTTTTCAACTTCCATCACCAGTTTTGTTTTTTCATATGGATGCTATATTGGAATTTCGTACATTTAAATGGAATTTTCAGTTCTAAATTTAGTCATGTATTTCCTTAGTTGGTCATGCATTTTATTGATGATAATTTGAAACACCCGGTATATCATTTTGAAGCTTCTAATAAGTGCTACATAACTCTAGAATTCAAATATGTCTATTTTTATACATCGAACCAGTATCCTGTCAAATCTTAGAGGTATTTTATGTATTTAAATATTGAATTGGTCCTATGGTTGGTTTTTTAAATAAGCAATAACCGAAGTGCCTTATAGTTTTACATTGATGATACCCTTTCTTATAGATATACCAAGCGTCGCATCAAGACCTTATACAAATTGGGAAGGTTTTATGGCGAAAGATACCTTCCAGGTCTAAGCGACTGACCCATTTTCTTCATAATAGTGTCCTCAGTGATCTAAACTTTGACAACCCGAAATGAATTTCTTCTTGGCAAAGCTCGGTCATCCATCCAAACCCGATGTGCGCATTGGTACTTTCTATTAATTATTTAAGGTTCCCAAAATTCATACCGAAAACGGATTGAATTTCCCGTTTCCTGATTTTATTGCAGAGATGTCATTTCAATTCGAGTTATTGATTTCGCGAGAAAATAACCATGGCGAATCGTAACGCACTCGAGAAGCGAATAGATCCATTTCAAGTTCAAAGAAAGGTTGCTTATCACAGCATCCTGTGATTGATTAGATCCTACATTACGGCTGTGTACCCGTCATATAAAAAAAACTCATCAATAATCTCTGCCTGTTATAATCTCATCCCTCGTTGCCACTTGAAAGGCATTATGGAAGTTTATTTATTTTCGTTCCTAAGTAATTTCTCCAGTAATTTCGTTATTTTTAGTGTGACGAGCTTTACTCATTATACCCTAACATACCAAGAGCATGCTCGGATTGTACCAAGGGGTAAACCGCTGGACAAAATGTGTACACCAGACATCCCTTTTTCGATGGAATCCCAGGACGTCCTTGAAAATTCGCCAAGTTCCTTAGAAATCCTTGGATATCCTAGAATATACGTGGACATCCCTGTGAATCCATGGACATCCTTGGAAATCCTATGAACATCCTGAGAAGTACCTTGACATCGCATTGCATGCTGCTGCTGAAATAAAGTAAGTCGACCATTAACTACGACCTATCGTTGTCGTGCATAAATAACATATGTACTCTGATTTTGCTATATCTACCGGAATGTTTATTTGCCGCGATAAATATTTTTCAACCAAAAATTATGTTGCTCTGGAAGTAATCTATTTATTTGGAAGTAATCACAGAATAATGAGATCAAAATGAAAACAAAGTTTTTTAAAAATAGGTAAATAAGCATACAATCGCTTGGTCGAACAAAGACCCTTAAACTTGAGATTTCAGTCGAAGGTACTTATTTCGAATACTACTGAAGTCATTTTGACTCAAGTGATAAATAACAGGATCTGGTTATTTGTTCGATGACCACGATGTGCTGTGGACATTTACGACGTCAGTGGTCTTTGCCCAGAAGAACTTGTCTCCCTTCTGACTTGTTTTAAAAACGTCAAGCGAAATTCACAGTCACTAATTCTTTTTCCGATGCGGCCAACATGCCATCCCTCCTCGTAATATACCCCATAAAATTGGCCAAGTCTGAGTGGAATACTTTGAGATTGAGGTGATGCGGTGGTTCTTGTTGAAAAGAATATATAATTCAGCGCTTCAGGCCTGAAGGCCCATGGCTTCTATCTTTTTGACAACTTCTTTCCACGCTTTTCTGTTTTTGGTCTTTTCCTCCCAGTCTGGTATGCCTAGTCTTTGTATATCCTCTTTGATCCTTCCTCTTCTTCTTCTACTACCTTCTCCTCCAAACAAAACTGTTTTGGCATTCTGTAAACGTGTCCTAACCAGCGCACTCTTTGAGCTCGGGCTTTTTGTATTATACTGGGTTGGTTATACATCTCCATCAGTTCTGTATTAGTTCGCTTTCTCCTGTACCATCGTTGTTTTTTGTGCCCCCATATATTTTACGTAACATTTCTCTTTCCCAGCGTTCCAATTTCTTGATATCCACCTCGAGTTTATCATCTTGCTTAAAGCCCCCATTGCTTTACTCCCTTTTGCTATTCTATTTTCAATTTCTAAATCTTCTTCTGCTTTATCTGTTATTGTGACCCCTAGATATTCAAATTGATTCACCTTCTCGAAACAGTATTCTCTGCAACTACTTTTTATTGTTAACTTTCCTTCATCGCTTCCTCTCATTTCAAGGTATTTTGTTTTGTCTTCATTTATATGAAGCCCAAAACGTTTGGCAGTTTCTTCTAACCTTCTAAACGTCTTCTCAAGTTCTGCTTTGGATCTGGTTATTATTGCTATATCATCGGCGTAGGCAATCAACTGATATTTTCTATAGTAAACAACTCCGTCGGTTTGTATACCACAATTACGTAAAATAGCTTCCAGCGTAAAGTTAAACAATGTTGTAGATAGCGGGTCCCCCTTGTGTCAGGCGTTTTTCCATTCATCTGGTAGTTCCTCTTGGTTCCATATATATCTGATCAGACTTCCAAGTCGCTTGTGTAAATCTTGTCTATCCGCTTTTATTATTTCTGCTGTGATTCCATTTTCTCCTGGACTCTTATTGTATTTTAATCTTCCTATTGTTTCCTCTATTTCCAGATCCGTTGGTTCGTGTATTTGTCCCTGATTGTCATCTTCGATTAGTGGTGCTGCTTCCGTATTCCTTTCCTCTTCGTCTGATAGCTTTAACAGTTCCTCAAAATGTTTGGCCCACCTTTCTAATTTTCCTGGAATGTCACCAATTAATGACCCATCTTTGTATTTATAGAAGCAAGAAGACCTTTGACTACCCAATTTACTTCTTCTTACATCCTGATAAAAGTTCTTAATGTTTTTGTTGATCATGTGATTTTCTATCATGTTCAAGCCCATTTCCCAGTATTCAGACTTTTTCTTTCTACACATCTCTTTCACTTTTCGTTTGGCTAGCTCATATCTTTTCCTTGACTCTGTTGTTCTAGATACATCCATTTGTATTTTTGCTTTCTGTCTTTGTTCCAATTCCCGTTTACAGTCATCATCGAACCACTCTTTGTTTTTTCTAGTACTCGTTTTTCTCATCATCTGTTCTGCTACATTAGTGATTATTGCTTGGATATGATTCCATTCCTGATTAATATCCTGCACAACTGGTGTGTTCTGCAGTCCTGTCGC